GAGGGAGGGGGGAAGGGAGAGAGAGAGAGACAGAGAGAGAGGAGGAGAGAGACAGGGACAAAGAGAGGGAGAGAGAGAGAGAGAGAGAGAGAGAGAGAGAGAGAGAGAGAGATTGCAAAAAAGCAAATGGGCTCATCTGTTATGCAAGACACCAACCTAGGAGAGGTGGCCTGGAGGTTCAGACCATGAGGCTCAGCTCAGCCCACTGGCTCCAGTGAAGAGGACGCACGAGGCTGCCTGCTGTAGAGGCTCGGACACCCCTGGCCTAAGATACTCACCAGTCGGACTTCTCATTCAGAGACTTGTCGTGGCACTTCACGAACACCGCAGCACCTTTTCCCTTCCGCAGTTTCGACACTTTCTCTCTGGAACAGAACATCATCCTGCAGAAGAAAAGAGATGTAAACATGTCACATAGAACAATAGGAACAACTATCCTAAACTGCACTGACCTGTCAGGGCTACACAGGTGCTCTATAATCCTGATGGCAAACTGTGTTGGTATTTCCAACAATTAACTCTGCCCACAACTCAATTAGAGGGCTACCTGACATCAGCAAATGAGCATGCTGACCCATCTAGGGAGGCAGCCAGCCAGCCGGGGACAGCCTCAGAATCACCAGGCTCTGACCAAGCGATGGCACAAGCCCACCTTCACCGCCGCTCAGTGCCCACACTAGTGAAGTAGGGAATTGGTCCTGCTGGAGGGTAAAGCTGCTTCCTCTTCCTCTTCCTCTTCCTCTTCTTTTGTGGAACCAGAGATTGAACTCAGGCCCTTGCACTTGCCAGGGAAGCACTTATTCCACTGAACCATCTCACATGCCCCTAGAGTGAAGCTTTTCCATCTATAACAATTCTTTTAGTGCAAAGCAAGTGATGAAAGAGAAATAATTTCTCAATTTCAACTTAAAGAGTTGCTTTTCTTAATGACAACAACATACTTTAGTTTGCAAAACCCCTACACATTTAGTGTACAAGTCTTAAATTTCAGCAGGCTGTCTGTACCACCCATTTCCTAGACACACGAGGCAGAACTGAGGCGGCAGAGCTGCGGATACAGGATGAGATTTTCTTACTCTATCCTTCTTAAAGAGATTGCTTCAGTCTTGGAGAGTCAAAGTTACATTTCTGAGATTTGTCCCATAAACCTTTTGTGCTTTCAAGAAATAGTGCTAAATGGATGCTGGAATTTTTAATATCTAATCCCAGCTCTCCCTCCAAATGGCTGTGACTGGTATTCAGGGACTCAGGGAATGAATATATATA